CCTTAGGTTCGGTTGGAATGCATTTGTGCAGAGGGGAGCAGGCATCCAATCCAGACACAAGTCCCAAAATGGGAGGTGCAGTAATACAGTTATAGTTAATAATAAACATGCAAGGAATGATTAAGAAAAATAATGATAATTAATGCTGCAGAAAACTTCCCCATCTGGGACTCTGGAAAATGAGCAAACTTGGAATGGTGAGTATTACAACAGAGCCACAGCTCCTCCTTCAACTGCTGTGAGCAGGAGGAAGTTACTGTGTTTGAGGGGGCAGCTTGTGGCTTAGTGGCTTAAGATGCTGGTCTGGGATCAGAAGGTCACATCTGGCACATAAATAAAGTCTGAGTGAGTTTGAAGCTTTGACTGTTTGTGGAAGAGGGTCCACACTAGCGACGTAACAGTTCTGAAACAGAAACTATGATACAAACGTTTACAGTCTTGTGTCTCGACCCTGGAAGATGAAACTGTGATATTCACTCCATCTAACCAAGCCCAACTGGCTGCAGGTGCAGCTTGTTCAGCTACCAACCACATAACTAACGTCACAAAATTATTTTCTTAACTTCGCAATTAACACTACAACACATGTAAATCACTAAATTATTATTCAACTTAAACTTTGGGGAAGCTGTATATATTGTAAATTTGACTCATTATGACTATTTTATTGTCATGCAACTGTGTGTCACATGACTATTTTTGGCCAATCATATTTGAGTAAAAGCTAGGCTAGTTTCATTAGCTCAAGGTGGATAATAACTCCAAGTCCCCAGATACATTCACGTCAGCAGTGTGAGAATGTATTGGTCATCCAGCATAGTATAATATTCTATTTATTTTGTAATTTAGTTTTGTTTACATACATTTTGGTTGTTTTACATGACGTTAAGTTAATCTGACATGTTCTTTAACGTTCTTCTGTTTAGTCTTTGAAATCGGTGATTAATAAAACCCATAAATTTCTCAAATTTTTTTTCTTATTCAGGTTAGGTTCAGGTTCAGGTTCAGGTTACTTTATTTGTACCTGCAGGTGGATTTGGTTTGCAGTGAATAGTCCTCATCCATAGACACACATGTCACACCAGACAATTGTCACACGTGATTCATAGACGATACAATAACTATAAAATTATAACACAATAAATACAGTTGAAATACAATAAGACAAATAATTACATAATAAAATGAATAAATAAAATTAAATAAAATACTGTTTTATTGTAACTGAAACTTCACCCCCCCCCACCCCCCCCATGAAAAAAAATTAACCAAACTGTGGCTCAAAGATTGAGGTCTGAACCTAACACCGATTTTTTTTTTAAATGTCACAGAGTTTCTTTTTGCTATCTTACAGCTGTGTCTGCTGAAGGGGTCTTGTCCAATTTCTCATTCAGGTCTTTGAAATAAAGTCTGGTTAAGCCACCATCTATTGCTTTAGTCCAACCAGCGTCGCAAACTTCTGCTCCACAAGCAGTCACCCTGCTGATGCAATGCCCCTCGTCATCTGCTGAGTCATCGCACAGCCGTCTCTGTGTATATTCTGGTTCTGCCAGCCAGCAGATGATAATAGGGTTGAAAACGGTGAGAAAAATCACAAGGGAAGCTGAAGAAAATGGTCGAAAATGAGGAAGGAAGAAAAACAGTGTTACTGAAAATTGTAAAGTGGAGGATGTGTACTATTAGGCACCCCGAGTCACTAAGAACAAATGCCTACGATGTGTCTAGTTTCCACATCCCTTCATTCTCTCCATTATGGAATTTAAGAGTCAGCCCTGGGTTAATGATGTAATTGATGTGAAAAAGTATGAGCCATTAATCAAGATCTGGTTGTGCGAGGCCTCGTTAGAGCTTCGCTAATGAGTGCTTACACAGCAATTATGTATAAGAACATGTGTTAAATACAGTAAAATGTCTTTGAGGTGAGATTAAAAATCTGGCCAACCTTGCTGTTACTTTCAGTTGAAAAGAATCAACATGAGAGGATATTCTGTGTACCAGACTTTAGTTAGGCGTGGTAATTTTGTCCTGAATAATCCATCAGTGATGATGCAGGGTTTGAGTAAATCGATTAGTCCAACGGTCTCCATCTCAGACATCCCTATGATCTCTGTGCTGTGGCTCCTGCAGTGTTGAGTAACTAGATGATTCAATACAGAACCTTTTTAAGGGAATTTTACTTGGGTTAGCTGTAGTACATTCTGAAGACTTTGTGGGAGAGGTCCAGTTGTTACCGCAATCATTCAGGAGGCTTTTTCCTAGCAGGCCTGGTCAGATGTAGCCATATTCAAGCAGATGATCGGTTTGCATTTTCAGTTTTTCCTCTACAACAGAGGTGGGGGACCTGCTTTTTGGGATAAACTCTCAATCAGCCAATCACAGTGGGTCCCCAGGACTTGAGTTGAGAACCCCTGCTTTTTCATTGGCTGACTGAGAGGTCATTCCCAAACCCCGGCACTCAGAGTGGCTCCACCCCAGCTCTACAACATTAACATAGTTCTACTGTCCCCCCAACTTTAAGGTCCAAAATGAAAGAGGGTCCTATACCTACCATCGAGAAGCAATGCTGGAATTGTTACAAAACTATGCGGCATTTTTAGAGAGCAGTATCTTAAGGTTTCTTGCCATATTAGTAGTAGCAAGGGTGAGCATCAGAGTTGTGAGGAGAGTTTTGCAGGGGCAGGTGCTTGACCGGGGGGGGGGGTGGTCACGCTCTGTAAAATTGGGCTCTGTAAATCACTCCGGCTTAGCAAACCAAAAAAAAAAGTTTGTGAATTCGGTGATGGTCGTTGAATGGAAATGGACACTTTCAATCGCTTGGAGAAAAGAGCC